AACATAAACGACAGTGAGGAACAATTTGGGAAACTTTAGACCCTGTCAATCCAAACCAGTATATAATAACCTAGAAAACTAGCCTTATGTAGAGCCTCGTCCACCTTCTTGTAGAAAGTACTTAAGAATAAAAGTTATGTCTAATATTAAACAAAACAAAACAAACAAAAAATCTCAAAACAAAAAAAAACTAAAAAAAAAAAAATATTTTTTTTTAAACCACATCCTACACTAACTCAATTTTGTTTCATTTTTCTATTTTTTTACATTAATCATATCATACAGTTTTTGCATCGAGATATATTTGGCTCTAGGACATATTTCTCCCAAAAATTTTCATAGATCCCATAGAACTACAAATTTGCTCATCCTCAGTCAGTGTGCCATGTGAGTCGTATAATGAAGTACATGTTTGATCAAAAGAAGCTCAACAAAAGAATGAAGATTGTTTACCTACCGGTTATGTGTCTAAATTACTTGAGAAAGTGCATTTAGATCTCACACAAAATGATTTAAAAAAGTTAGTTGCTGTCTGGGGTCAGTTAAGTGAAGAAAAAAAAGAAAGTTTTTGCAAAAAGTATGGGCAGATTACATCCTCATTTTTAGTGTGATCATGTTAACAACTGGTCAAAGTAGCTATAAGTTTTGGGATCCATCCTATAGATGCTTCACTTTTATCAGGAAAGATTTGGTGCCAACTATCGAGGAGTATTCGATTTGCTCGGGATAAAACTACAAATGTCCGATAAAGTATTTACCCGAAAGCCAAAATCAGGTTATCGTAAAAAGTTAGCCAAGCTTATGGGGTTAAAGTAGAAACCATTGATTCCTTTGCGAAGTCTAAAGGTGAACATCTCGCATTCATTGGGACTTTCTCTGAAACTTCATTCAGGAGCATTTAATGATGATCAAGGTATGGATGTGTTTGCTCTAGCATTGTATGGCATGGTAATCTTTTCGAAGACTTTGGGTTACATTGAGATAACTGTGGTAGACTTTTTCGAGCAAATTAAAACCAAGCAATTAATCTGCTCCAGCAGTCCTAGCCAAAACCATCAGGTCATTGAATTTTTGGCGACGAAATGGAAAAATGATTCATAGATATGCATCTCTATTATACATATGGGTTAGAAGTCATTTCAAGTGTGGGAAGAGTGCATTTTTGAAACCATATCTTTGAAATAAGGCACAATCGAAGAGTTTTGTAAAAGCCAATGGCGACATTAAAGACTAAGAAGAATGGGTCTTTTCTTGTGAAAGCTTACTGGGGATAAAATCGAATGGATGACGCTTGAGATGCCTCGTGTGCCCTTGTTGTATCGTGGAGAAAATGAGCCATGGATACCGTTATTAGGGCTATGGGGCATTGTAAGTTATGCTCCATTGATGGTATTGAGGCAATTTAGTGCAAAATAGTTTGTTCCTGCTACTCATGGCCTGGTTTAAGTAGAATTCATTCATGGGGAATCAAATCCATCAAAAACCCCGGAGCAGTTGATCCAAGCATGAAAGAGAACACAAAGAATGAGGTTAGGGCCTCTCGTCGATAAAGTCACTTTTGATTACTAGATTAGGAAAACAAGACGACCTAGAGACATAGTACTCCCTCCTGATGACAGCTCATATCAATTGGTTAATCTTGAAAAAGAAGTACAATTATCAAAAGTTGAGCTTGTCAAGAAAGAATTAGAAGCTAAAAAAGAAGAAATAAGAAGAGAAAATTTGAGACTTCGCAAGAAAGTAGGGCAATGAAATATGAAGTAGAGATACAAGGGAGCAGATTAGAAAAAGTCATAAAAAATGAGATCTGGCTAATAGTGATTTGAAAGATCTACACCAGGAAAATAAGAGGTTACGAGTTCAATTCAAAACTGAAAAAGTCACCAAGTCTTACCTTAGTCGACAACGTGAAATGGATGAGCTCCGAGAGGGAATAAACCAATGGAAGGGCAAAGCTCAAGAAAAGCAAGAGGAGACCACCAGAATTTCTCAAAATGTCAGAATTGAAAGGGATTATACTCTACAACCTCAGCAAGATTGGTGGAATGCCAAAATGAAAAGGAAATGTTGAAAGTCATGCTAGCAAAAGAGAAAAGAAAGCACTTCAAAGTACTGAATGAAAAAAAATCACTTCACTGGGTGATCCAAGGGTTAGAGATACAATTACAAGACCACAAGAGCCATATTTCAGTAATGATAGATGAGTGGCATAGAAGGA